CCTTTCATTGAAGGTTGCTTTCATCGTGGCCATTACATCGGCTCGAAGGGTGTTGGAACTAAGGGCGCTAACTGTAGACCCGCCCTACCTTGTTTTTTCACATAGCAACGTAAGGCTAAGGCCTCATCAAACCTTCCTCCCGAAGGTGGTATCACCATTCCACCTGTCCCAGGAGATTTATCTCCTGGTTTTTTTCCCAAAACCTCACGCCTCCTCTAAGGAGCGGGTGCTTCACTCCCTGGATGCCAAGCGGGCGCTGGCTTTCTACATTGACAGAACCAAGCCATTCCGTAAATCACAACAATTGTTTGTTGCGTTTGGGGACAGGGTGAAAGGCTCGCCTATTTCGACACAAAGGGTGGTGCAATGCAACATAGAGTATAGCAGAGTGTTATCAACTGGCTGGTAAACCCCCACCCAGGGTGAAGGCACACTCTACCAGGGTGCAGGTGTCCTCGGTGGCCTTTGGTGCCCAGGTACCAATCACAGAAATTTGCAGGGTGGCCACATGGTCTTCCCTTCACACGTTTACAGCGCACTATGCGCTACCACAGCAGGCCAGGGAGGATGCAGGGGTGGGCTCTGCAGTCCTCGAATCTGTGATGTAAATATGTAAATATATCCTGTTGTCATCGTTCTTAATGTGCCTTATCAGTGTTGGATGTTTCAAATAAATCCGTTTATTGTTCACCTTCCTTCATGACTCTGGTGGTATGACTGCTCCGACCCTTCCTCCGTGGGGTTAGCTTGGTAGTCACCTACTTCGAATGGACATGAGAAACCACTTGAAGAAGAAAAGAACGGTTACTTACCTGTAACTGTTGTTCTTCGAGATGTGTTGCTCATGTCCATTCGACTCCCACCCTACTTCCCCTTCGTCGGAGAGTCCAGCAAGAAGGAACTGAGGTGGGGCAGTGCCAGCAGGGGTACTGATGCCCCGCCATGGCGGCGCCACTCCAGGGGGCACCCTGCCGGCGCTACGGGTACCGCTAGGGAAAATGCTCCGAAAGACACGGTGCACGCGGTGCGCACACCTACTTCGAATGGACATGAGCAACACATCTCGAAGAACAACAGTTACAGGTAAGTAACCGTTCTTATCCTTTGGCATATGGAAAAAGGCGAGGAGTGAATGGGATAAACTAAGAATGGGGAGATACAGAACCACTAGTATTACAGAGTAGAAAATATGGCAGGAGGCAGAAATGTCAGGGCACACAGAACTCCTGGCAGAGAAGAGATTGGGGGAGTTGCATGAAGTCCTTGAAAAAGGAGGAGATGATAAGGTATCACATAAGAAGTTGGGGGTAAGGGAAAATGGGAGAGTGCAAGGAGCCCCTTACATATACTATCAGCTTGGTCTGCGTAAGCTACTGAGTATACTAGCCCCATATTCATTGTTAGCATATGGAACATAAAAAGCAATTTTAATGTGAAAAAGATAATAGATTTTTTTGTTTATAATGTTCTTTAGATGAAATCTTACATTAAATCATTGCTGGATTTCAGCTTGGGTTTTTCATTTGCTACATCAGAATAATAAGCAGGTACTGGACATAAAATTCAGTATTAAAATGAATCTCCATATCAGCTCTCAAACTTCTGGGATAAAGCAGTATTTTTACATTAGGTTCTATTTAGCCTATGAAAGTTTGCCATTCCATACATTGTGTGTCCATTCTAATTTCTGAGAATTGTATTTTTTTATGTATTTTGAATAATTATTTAGTTAAAACATTGTTCAGAGAAACTAACACAAAACAAATGAACTGTTTATATTTAAAAGATGTGTGAAAATACAATCAAGCTAATAAATATTCTTCTAAAGGAGGCCTAGGAACTCAAATATAGGGTTGGTGTGACTTTTTGGTTATAGTACACTTACAAATAGTGTTTTGTATTTTCAGGCACGCAGCATTACTCCAAATCCTTTCAAAGAAATCCATCCACTTCCAGGAAGAGATTTCAAGTAGCTTCCTAATACAGCTTGGAAAGAGAAAATCTATTGCATTAAGTGGAGGACTACACTGCTTGGCCTAATAGCTAGCCTTACAAGGATTGAAGAAAAAGTATTGCAGCATATTGTATGCTGCCTAGTCTTCCACTTAGCATATGTATATGGCATTGTTCAAAAGCAGCATCAGCAGGGATTGGATCACAATGAAAAAGAAAATAAAACCAGTGCTTTAAATCTGGACCGTAAGAATTCAGTGTCTGTTCAAGGTAAAGAGGAGGTCACTCACTCACTCTATATATTTGGGAAGCTGTTGGCAGAAGCAAGTAACAATCTACTTAAGTGCCTGTAACTGTATTCCCCTTCCCCTCTCCAGCGTTACAGGTATTTTGGATCAATCCTTCCTTGATTATGTACAAAGTTAATGTCTTTTGAAATAAGAATTTGTACTATCCCTTGTTTATCCCTGTTATGCCATTTCTCTTTTCTAGTCTCCGACAGTTCCTGTTGCTCTTTGTAAAAACTGCCTGTCCCTTGCCTTTCTTCCTTGTTTAATTTATCTTCATCTGAACAGTCATTGGAGAGCTGGATTTCATTCATTATGAGTAATTCAGCTGTTCGGTATGTTAAGTGTTTTTGTAGCTCAAATGGAATCATTCTCAGGAAACAACAGTAGACTTGTCGGACTGAATTATTCCATAAATACGCCAGAACAGAACCTGCTCACTGATCTGTGAGTAAGACACTTTGCGCTAACTAGACCAGTTATTATTGACATTTTAAAATGTCAAATACTAATGTGAAACTTAATAAAAATTCCTGTATTTAATCTTTTACTTATTTAATTTACTTAATGAATAGAGGCAGCATTTCATATTCCTTCCATCTGTTTAGACCAGAACAAAAACCAGAGTAACCTAAAAAAAGTTTATTAGCATTATCTCTAGTGCAATAATGCCTAGAGGGCACAGCCAAGATCAGGTTCCAATGTATTAGCACTGTACACACATAGTATAGGTGACCACCAGTGCCCCAGAGAGCCTACACTATAAATACACAAGAGTGACATAAGAGTCGGATGGGAAACAGGGGCACAGAGAAATGTAGTGACTTGCCCAAATCATCCTGCAGGTCACTAGCAGAGTTGAAAATCGAATCCAGGTCACCTGAATCCACGTCTGTCCCTGTTCATGGAAAAGCACTACTACTTATCAGCCTTTCCTGCATAGGAAATTATCATGCAGCACTGTGAGATGCACCTTAATCTAATTCCCAGCACCTTAATCTAATTGTTCCCAGCACCTTAATCTAATTCCTTGTAGAAGAGACAAGTTGGTGCTGATGGGGAATGCTCTGAAATGTGGCTAGCCTCAATGATTTGGCAATAAGTGGTTCTGAGGTATTTAACTTGCTCTTGGTATTGATCACATGACGGTGGTTCTTCAAAATACTTTTCTACCCATGCTCATTTCTTGTGCGGTGGTGGTGGCAAATGTCTTGCTGTCCTTACATTGCCACTTTACCAGAATCTGTCTGTTTCTCTGGTCAACTAGCAGCACACTTGATATAGGGCTTCTTCATAGTGATGGACATAGCTAACATACAGTACGTTAACCATGTTTACAGTTGAACAGTCTGCATGGAGAAGAAGGGTTAAACAGAGTTGTGTTTGAACTAGGAGAGTGCTTCCTCTTCCTGGAAACTGAGTGGGAAGTTTGGGGTAGGATTGGGACACATGGGGATTGGGATTGTGCAGGCCAGACTCTCTGGATATGAGCCTGGTGACCTGGGCATCAGCTGTGTCCACGCTATACGATATGTGGGCTTATACCCATGTCTCAATAGGCTTGGACCCATATGCCTGAGAGTGGCTGTAGGCTGAATAAGTTTCTGGCACAATCAGAAGGCTTTGTGTGTGGGCAATAAGGGGATATGGGCTTTAACCAGAGTCTGAACCTGGCATCACTATGGTGTCTAGACATGTCCTAAAGTGTCTGTGCTGAGAAATAACAGGGAATGGGCCAGGCAACTGGCAAAAAGCCAGTATGGATGGAATTAGGTAGCTGATGGAGAAGACCACTGGAGAGGAAGCTGAGTTGGTATATATTTTTGTTGATAGAAAAAGCAAAATTTGTTCAACAAAATGGCCATCTTACTGACGCAACATGAACATAAATTTACTGGTTGGCGGCGGCAGCATTAGTGGTAGCACAGGCTGTCATGGGTGAGTCCCGAGGAAGACAGACAAAATTTCTCCTGAAACATGATTCAGGGAAACAATACTAGGCTAATGAGTTAATGCTATTTTACTAAACCATCTGAAAATTGGGCAGAAAGTAAAATGGGTAGGAGTCTATCAAAATTATGACTAATTTTTTTTTTAATTCTGAAGCAGTCCTTTGTTTTATTCACAATCAGGGCAAATCTGTCTCTTTTATAATGTTCCTTTTCTTGCATCCAGGTGGATTTGATTATTTGTGGTTGTCTCTGATGTTTTCCATTGATAGTCTTGGGGTGAAGCAAAATTAAAAAATTGAGCCTAATACCGTATCACTGGCAATCTTGGGCAGTGTGGCAATGCCCTTTATTCTTGAATGAGTTATCACAGAGACATACTGTTCCCTGATGATTAACTTTTATTCCAAGTGTATAAGGCATCATTTATTTATACAGAAAGTATTGCTTAAATCAGGGGTCTCAAAATCAATTGAGCTTAGGGGACAGTGCCAGTCCTCAAATCCTCCTAGTGGGCACCCTCCTCTAGCAGGGGTCTACGGATGTGTGTGTCTGTACATTCCTCCCACCCTGTGCATCTCCAGCTCCTCCTGATGTCCTATGTAGCCCTGCCCATGCATCCCCTGACCCTGCCTGCCACCCCTATGTAATTTAAAACCTGCTGGGTGCCTCCCTTGGCTGCGCAGCCAGGCTAGAATGGCTTCTGGTTGCTAGCTCCATGCCACTGCTGGCATGTCCCTGTGGCCTGGGAGAGGTGTGTGCAGAGCTGTCCTGTAAGCTGGGAAACGATTAGACCATAATAATAATTTGAGTATACCGACAGTTGGCATCATTGCTATCTAGTCAAAAGAAAAAACAGGACTATGTAGCACTTTAAAGATTAACAAGATGGTCTTTAAAGTGCTACATAGTCCTGTTTTTTCTTTTGACTAGATAGCAATGATGCCAACTGTCGGTATACTCAAATTATTATTATGGTCTAACTAAAACTCTAAATACAAATCTTGATTAATTACCATCATTTTCTTCAGTTCAGTTATTTGTTTGCCAATATTTTTCCTTTTTATATATCATTATCAATTATTCTGCGTACTGCAAACTGCTTCAAAATGTCACTTTACTGCAGCTGGTTATTAAAATATCCAATTTCATCTCGCTGGTCTATCAGTAGCAATCATTCACCCCATCTACGTTTTTGGCACTTACAATATTTTTCATGCAGAATCATCATTAGAGAACCAAATCTGTGATGTGACATAATTCCATTCTTCCTGTTATCTTGACATGTAACTAATAAATCCATAGTATATGAGAGAAAAATGTTACCTTGACACCTTCATTAGAAAAGGTGCTATTTTTCTTCTAAATGCTTCTTGCAATATTAGCATCTTGTGTTGTTTCTACAGTGCTGATGTCTTTCTGCTGCAAATACTTTTTTGCAAACTAAGAACACTTCTATTTAGAAAACAGATCATAAACAAGTGATCATGACACCCTTTAAGAGGAGTGGTACACAGTTGTAGCCATCACTTTGTTATGTTGAACAATTTTACTTTTCCACTTAGATGCAGGTTTTCTAATTAATCATTTCATGGAGGATCTGAAATTTGTAGGGAGTACAGTAGCAGACGGTTGTGCATTTTTTTAGTTTCTGTATAATGCTTAGTAATCCTTTCTATCTCTAATTATTACAATGAATTATTGCTCATATATACATACTTGCTTTCATATTATTGTCTCACTCTTACACAGTATATCACCTGACTTGCTGTGCCAAACATTGCTAATAAATAACACCACCTCACTCATGAAAAATGCTAATGTTTCATGTCCACATTTTATGATTAGGGATGTAAAACCTTGTTTAATTGGTTAATCATAGTGCTAATACTGTGTATAACTGATTTAAAGGGTCAGACTACAGCAGCCCCTGCCTGTGGTCCCTGCCTGTGGTAGGGCCTGCTCTGGACCAGCTGCTTCTAGCCTCCCTATGGGGACTGCGGCCATAGCTCCCAGTCCCTTTTCTCCCCGCAGGGGCTGCTGGCTCCCAACCACCAGTTAACCATTACCCATTAAGGTAACCGCTCAACAGATAACCTGTTAACATCCCTATTTATGGATAATTAGCCAGGCTCAAATCACACAAGTTTACTCAATGCCCATTAATAAGCATATTTAGTACGGGCACTTGCTGTTTCCATTTTTCCTTGTAGCTACTAAGATATTAGCCTCACTGTTAGATTTCTTGAAAATATTTTTACAGTATTACCATGAAAATTAGTAAGTATCTAAAAAAAAAAGCCCACCTCCAATTCCTTTGGCATGTTTTTCAGCTCCTTGTACAAGATGTAAATTATGAACAATGCTGTTGTTTTCATCAATGCTAAGTGTAAATACATATACACATTTTATTGACAATTGATGTTGGCAATTTCATAATGATTTCTAAAAGCATTAACATTCTCATTTATAATGTCTCACTAAGACACAAAAAGGAAAGCATCCTGTGAATTCCTTGATCAAATCACTACAGATTTCCAAATGTTCTTACCAGTTTAATTAACATAATGACATAGTTTTCACAGTAGCGTTTTTTAAAAATACCAGTTTTCAAAATGTCAGTTTCCAGTAAAATTCCACTTTTACATGCACTAAACTCACAATACAAGAAATTATCAGTGCTAATTTCACAGCTGTGTTAGAAGTCTGATATGTAATAATAATATGTGTAGTATCCACAATCCCACAGTACAATAGAAAACATCTTACTATAAGAACCCAATGATCTCATGTGTTTAAAGGAAGCAATGATCTATGTGAAAGTAGAAAGAATTATATTGTAAGAGAAAGATGAATTATACTGTAATAATAGAATAAGTTCAAGGAATACTGTTTGTCCCTGAACAGGAAAGAGAAGATTATGTTAATGTTGTTTGTAGATATGCAGGATGGATCAGAGTAGAGACAGGTGTGTCTGGTATAACAGGAAAAAGAACATTAGGGCTGCGTCTAGACTGGCAAGTTTTTCTGCAAAAGCAAGTGCTTTTGCGGAAAAACTTGCCAGCTGTCTACACTGGCTGCTTTGAATTTGCGCAAGAACACTGACGATCTAATGTAAGATTGTCAGTGTTCTTCCGCAAATACAATGACTCTCCCATTCGGGAAAAAGCCCTCTTGCGCAAATGCTTTTGCACAAGAGGGTCAGTGTAGACAGCTGAGAACCGTTTTGCGCAAAAAAGCCCCGATGGAGAAAATGGTGATTGGGGCTTTCTTGCGGAAAACCGCGTCTAGATTGGCACAGACGCTTTTCCACAAAAAGTGCTTTTGTGCAAAAGCATCCATGCCAATCTAGATGCTCTTTTCCACAAATGCTTTTAACGGAAAAACTTTTCCGTTAAAAGCATTTGCGGAAAATCCTGCCAGTCTAGACGTAGCCTAGGTGTTAGAAAGTAATTGAGATAACCAGCAAGATATGGACAGGAGATTGCAGAGCCTTGATACGGAAATGAAGATACGCGACTAGTCTCATGGGAATCAAATGAAGTTTTACCCCCTTTTGTAATCTTGTTAATTTTGCTTACTTTTGTCTGTATAAATCAAGGAGTTTGAACCTTGTATGGTGCTCACATTTTCTGGGTATATTAGCAGAGCGGCTTTGCTAATAAACAGAGTGGTCTGACAAATTTGTGAGTCCTTTGTCTGTCTCTGACATCTACAATATTTGTGAGAGTTTGTTCAAGAACTTCTCCAAGCAGTAAGAGCTAGGGATGTAAGCGACTAGTTGACACACTAGTCAACAAGTCCCTCTTCACCCCCTTGCTGCCTCTATCAGAAAGAGGCAGCAAGTGGTGGGGAAAAGGAAGAGGGTGGTGGTGGGAGCTTGCTTAATAGCGGTTTCCCCCAGCTCCAGCTCTGTGGGAGGGGGCACGGGCACAGCAGCGGCGTTCCACCTTTGAAATATACAAGAATCCCCGCCATGCGGCGTTTCAATCTTCAAAATGCACATCTGCGTTCTTGTACTTTTCAAAGGCAGAACATAGCATGGCACTTCCACCTTCGAAATGTAGTAACAGCTGGGCGGGCTCTTGTTACATTTCAAAGCGGAAGCATCCTTATCGACTAATTGAATAGTCAATGGAAATTCCATTGACTATTCAATTAGCTGATTAATTTAATTGTAACATTCCTAGTAAGAGCTAGCACCACCAAATTTGGTATCAGCTTCTTCTTATCATAACTTAAAGCAAGGTAAGGATTTGGTTGTGCCAGGAAAATGGGATATGCCTGGAAAGGGATTGCTTCTCATAAAAATATACAGAAAACACAGAATCACCAGCCAGGTGAAAGGGGTTGGTCTGGGTACCCCGCCTCCATCCAGAACTGCCCTACCCCTAGGCCACCCACTCTTGGGTGGGTGGGGGGTGGGGGAGCTGAAGCTCCTTTCCCCAGATTTGTATGGGGACATTGGTGGCTGTTCCCCTTCACTGAGAAGCAAGGAGAAAGTGCACAGTTTGCTGCCTTCCTTACTCTGGCGGGGGAGTGCAGGGAGCAGATGAAACTTGACCTGCTCCAGCTGGGGGACATGCACCCCTTCCTTAGCTGTGCCCGCTGGAGCTGCAGTGACCAGGGAGAGGCACTTCTCACCTGGCCCCATGCTGCTGTAGTGGGGTCGTCCTCTCTCCAGAGGCAGCCTGAATACTTTTCCCAGCTCCATCCAAGAGCAATGATTCATAAGAACATAAGAATAGCCATACTGGGTCAGACCAATGGACCATCTAGCCCAGTATCCTGTCTGCTGACAGTGGCCAATACCAGATGCCTTGGAGGGATCACAACAGGTAATCCTCACATGATCACCCATTTCCAGACAAAATGATCAGATGAACCATGTACATTTTATTTTCCAAACAACAAAAATTTGAGTTAAGGACCTGAGCAATGCTGGGTAAATCTTCTAATAGTTCATACTAGCTGGACTTACCTGGCATTGCTCAGGAAACCTGAGGAACAAAATTTAGGAAACTTAGGAAAGGAGGGGACCCTGAGCCAGGGGACCCCCAGAGCCACAGATCCTGGAGGCTAATGGCTCCTGGCCCACACCTGACCCTTTGAGAGCAGCAGGACCATCCTCCCCCCCAGGAACGAGCAGCCAGCCCCCAGGAGAACAGTACACAGTCATGCGGCCAGTAGAAAGGGATCTTCTTTTTGCAAGGTTAGCTCAGGGATCCACCTGCTCTGCCTTGGCAAGCAAAAGCTCAGAGCTCACATCTAACCCCGATGGCTGGAACCAGACAGAGAAGAGCCCCACTCATGATACGAACAGCAGCCGGCTGACTTCAAAGCAATGTAACACATCGACAGTTTAACCCGTCCCCTCCACTCTGCACTGCAGCAGGCACACGGATTCCTTCTGCTCGGATAAGCCCAGCGAGTTGTGCAGAAAGGCTTTGGTTTTGGTTTCCGGAGGGGGAGGGCAGCAGGTGGGGAGTGACCCCGGGTGGAGGGGAGGTTATATGTGGGAGGGGCGCCCCAGCTCGTGCCTGGAGCTGCAGGTGCCGCAGGGGGCAGGGCAGGTGCCCTAGGCGTTGTGTACATGGGAGTGGGGGTAGAGGGTCAGTTATGAAACCTTGCGGGCAGGAGGGGGCGAGTCCCAGGAGACTACACACGGGAGGGTCTCCCCAGCTCACGCCCAGGGCCGCAGGTGTTGCGGGGGGCAGGACAGGACCCCAATTGGGTCCAAAAGTACCTTAAAACCTTCTCCTGGAGAAAAGGTTATCCCATACAAAGTTTAG